ACCTTCTAGAAGAATCTAGAAGACTAAAATCATTCCTAATTGCATTAGGAATGATAAATCTATATTAGGCCCTTCTCTAGATCATTGGGCCGCATATAAGGCTCAAACCAGGCCCAGTTCAGTAGTTTGGCCATAAATTCCTCAATATTCATCGGAATTGAGCTTATAATATATCGTCGGAAAGGTCTTTTCAAGCCCTATCTAACTACACTATTATTGGACCCATATCATGGACCAACCAAACTGGATTGGCTGTTTTCTTAAAATAGGTTTTCTAAAACAGAGAGAAGAGAAAAGAAATTAAAACTATCCGCAACACTAAACTTTCCACACTTTCACTTCATTCGATTATGATTCGACGTGAAAGGTACTCATCACCGGGTTTGGTTTTGGGGAGACACAAACGGGTGTCTACACAGGATTTTTTGGGTGGTATGAAATTTTTGGGTTGTTGTTCCTTCCAATCTGAACGTTTGCCAAGTCATTGTTAATAGATTTCTTAGCTTTGTTCATGGTGAACTGAAGGCTTGAGGAACAAAAATTCATTTCAGAATTTGAAAATTAAATGGTAAACAATGAGAATCCAAAATGACATTATTCGCTTACAGCATGTCATGAAAAAGTAAGTTGATTACTGACTTTATATGTCCTTTTACTGTTTTTGATTTTATTATTTTTTCACCTAAACAAAATCAACAGTGTAAATTTTTTGATTTTTTATTTTTTGATAAAAATGGAATAATCAAAGTTATTTTTCCAAAATGATGTTTGATTTTCACTATGAAAGTTGTTTCCTAAAGACTTAACCCTTGACTACCTTGAGCCCTAAACCCTAAACCTTATCCCAAACCCTAAATAAACCCTAAACCCTAAAACCTAAAACCTAAACCTTATCCCAAACCCTAAATAAACCCTAAACCCTAAATCCTAAGTCATATACCTTAATTCAAAACCTTATATCCCAATTCCTAATTAAACCCTAAACCCTGATGCGCTGAATCCTAAATCCTAAATAAGAATTCATATACGTAAATCCGAAACCTTATACCCCAATTCCTATTTAAACCGTACAGGCACCTTTTGATGCATACGGTTCAAACAAAATTGTGAAAAAAATCAATATGTAGATTCTACATCCTGTTCAATATGGGTTAGACCTAGGGATGGCAATGCGTTGGGTCGAATGCGGATGATGGTGCCTCCATACCCATACCAGCCTAAAAAGCTTGTACCCATCCCCGCCCCACCACCCGTGGCGAGTATAATATCATACCCGTCCCAACGGGTACAAGATAGGATCCATCCCCGCCCCATCACCTATGGCTGGTACACATTTAACACCCATCCCCGCCAAACCTCCCTCCATCCCCGCCCCACCTATGCGGGGATGGGGCGCCCATTTAACCCGACCCAATGCCATCCTTAGACATCGATGCTGCGACTCACTCAGGCATTGCTCAATAGAGGTGCAAGGCTTACAAAATTACCGAAACAACCACAATATTCACCACTTCTGATTGAAAAACAAATTCTAGTCATTTTCTTTGCTGTCAATGGTATCTGTCATCAAATGCCACTAGATAAAACAAGACCAAAAAAAGAAAAATATTATTAATGTATCAGTAAAAGTAACTAAAAAAATGTACATTGAAATTAATTAAAGATGATTAAAGAAATAGTGGGTTCCTTCGTTGAATCTTTTTGTTTTTTATAAATTATTTTTAAGTAAACCCAGTATCTATATACTCTTGCACGTAAGGGTTTAAATACATCATACTCTTTGTGTTTTTTTTTTTTAAAAAAAAAGCTTGTTATTTGAATTATATCTACAGTTACGTAACCTAGAAATACATATGCAAAAAATAATAATTGTTGATTAGTTGATCATACATAGCTATAAAAAAATAATAATAGTTACTAGTTACTGTTTTTTATGTAAGAATGCGAATTAAAAAAATTATTAATAAGTTTTTAATCACATTATTCCTCCTTGTTTGTCGTCCCATTGTAAGTCAGTTTTTCATAATCACCAACTAGGATTAGTACGAGGTTACAAATGCTACAATATTATATCTAATTAATCACTTTGTTTTACTTGTAGTTCCCAAAGAATTTTTTTATTAATAAAGAAAAATGAAAAATGGATAAACTAATGACTGTACTACTGATGCCTTATCCCAAACCTCATACCCCGTTAGTAAAGCGACTGTTTTCGCAAATCATGGAGCAGTGTTAGTTTTCCATAGCATTAAGACAAACCAGTCACTATCAACTACTTGTATATTAGTGCCTACGACTGAAACTTGACATGAAATTACTTTTTGTGTTATGTCACTATCAACAACCCTTTCATGTTTGTAATTATTTAAAAACATTTTTTGTTCATGGAGCAACCGTCTTTTTTTTTTTGGTACCTTCTTTGGAGTGATAAGTTGGTAACATAAACCATAATTTTTTACAATATGATGCAAAAAAATAATCAGTTAATTTTTTTAAAAAAAAAAAAAATTTATTAATAATATCCAACCCTACTAATAAAATGACAAGGGTATAAGGGTGGACGGTGACCTACTAGTAAATATTTATAGAATTAATATAAAACAATTTAACAATAAGGATAAAAACCTACTAATGGTTTAGGTTCGATAAGAGTCAAAACAATGATAAATACAAAAATAATAATATTAATAAAATGACAAGGATGGAGGAAAACGGATCAGGGGTAAAAGGGATTGGAAGGTTTCGGGTTTGGGGTTATAAGGAATTAGGGTTTGGGGTTATAAGAAATTAGTGTTTGGGGTTTAGGGTTATAAGATTTTACGGTTTAGGGTCTGGAGTTATAAGGATTTAGGGTTTAGGGTTATAAGAAATTAGTGTTTGGGGTTTAGGGTTTAGGGTATACGGTTAAAAGAGTTTACGGTTTAGGGTTTGGGGTTATAAGGTTTTAGGGTTTAGGGTTTTGGGGTTTAGGGTTTAGGGTTCGGGGTTATAAGGATTTAAGGTTTGGGGTTATAAGGGTTTAGGGTACGGTTTAGGGTTTGGGGTTATAAGGATTTAGGGTTTAGGGTTTAGGGTTTAGGGTTTTAAGGGTTTCAGATTTGAGGTTTGAGGTTATAAAGATTTAGGGTTTAGGTTTAAGGTTATAAGGGTTTGGGGTTATAAGGGTTTAGGGTTTGGTGTTATAAGGATTTAGGGTTTGGGGTACCAAGGATTTAGGGTTTAGGATTTAGGATTTTAGAGTTTAGGGTTATAAGGGTTTGGGGTTATAAGGGTTTACGGTTTAGGGTTTGGGGTTATAAAGATTTAGGGTTTAGGATTTAGGATTTTAGGGTTTAGGGTTATAAGGGTTTACGGTTTAGGGTTTGGTGTTATAAGGATTTAGGGTTTGGGTTTATAAGGGTTTAGGGTTATAAAGATATAGGTTTAAGGGTTTAGGATTTTAGGGTTTAGGGTTTAGGGTTATAAGGATTTAGTGTTAAGCAATTAGTGTTTAGTGTTTGGGGTTATAAGGTTTTACGGTTTAGGGTTTAGGATTATTGGATGAAGGGTTTTTGTAAGGTGAGTCTAGGTGAATCAACTATTTTATCTTCTAATATATAATTGTAAATGACAATTGTCAAAGGTGGTAACACAAGTGTAAGTCTACACATCTTACATACAACGAAAATTGCATAGATATCAAGTTAAACAAGATTATTCATTTTTTTCCATATACAGATGCTCGACCCTAAAAGATTAGATCTCGGTCCTAGCTCAAACCTAATTTAAACGATCAACAGTTGAGCCGACCGTAGTAAAAACCTAATTCTAATATAGTCTTTGCTAATGTTGGCTAATGTTCTAATTTATATTAATTCCCAAGTTGTTGGTTTTTTTTTTTTTTTTTGGTTTTTTTGTTATTACAAGTATTTACAACTTTTCAAATGCAAAGGGTTAAATAATTGTATTATTATAATCCAGCGAAATGACAATGAGATTGTAACTTTGATTTGCGAAATAATTATATACGTAAAATTCAGCAAAATCTTTCCGTAATGATTTTAAATCTTCTCTGTGAATTTCTATTCACATGTAAACATAAGGAACTGCGACATTTCCCATGTTTTGACGGTAATTTTTTCTGTATATTCGCCTATCCGTAATATTTGGCTATATGTCAATACAATAAATTGGAAACTAACCACATGCTATACACCTACACTCAGCTACTACCACTACCCTTTTAAAGCTAAGTAAATAAAACAACGGGTGGCTAGACTCAGCTACTAACTTATCTATTCGTTTATTGAGTTGACCTTACTGAAATTAGTGTGATTATCTTTCTCCAAGTTCAAGTTGATAGCAAAGCTCAACGTATGACCCTCAAAAATCTAAGGATAAAGATCTTGTATTTTTTATCTTATGGTATTCATCCATAGCAATCCTAGAAATTTTATTTATTTATTTTTTTTATAATTTTTGTTATAAAGTAATATTTTAGGAAAATGTTATTATTCCCGGCTTTGATTACTATTCCAACACTCGGATACGAAAAAACAAATCAACCATCCAAGTCTTAAACTTAATAGTCGAGACACTAATTTGAATTAGGAAATATTATGAATTCTAATCCTAAACCCTATTGACCAACCAAACGTGGAATAATCTAATTTGATTCATGTTAGCCGACCTTACTTATGGAAGTAGGGTTGTAATTGATTGATTAAATAATATACAAAGTGCACTCCTAGACCGAGATCGAATTAATCTGTTAGGGTCGAACTTCTGTATATGAAAAAAAAATTAATAATCTTGTTTAACGTGATATTTATGCGTTTATCGTTATATGTATTTATCAATGTTTAGAATTACACCTGTGTAACCACCTTTATCTAGTTTTAAGCTTAGAGGTGGTTAAACATTTAAATTATCTAACCATCTTAATTACGTGTTTAGAGAAATTCTAATGTTCTATTAACATAAGTAATTTTAATGTTCTAAATGAACTCATGTCACTATGTCAAAAACCCTAGTTAGCATAACAGCACTATAAATATCCACATTGTTCCAACCTCATTGTCACCACAACAACTCAATTACAAAAAATTAGCAGTCACTATGAAATCCTCTGAAAAAGACCAGCCACCTCTTTCCCTCAATTCCGACACTGGAGGCTCTTCTTCGTCTCTAGTAGCCAAACGTAAGGGAAAGGGAACTACTGGTGAGAGTAAGAAGAGAAGCAGTAGTTCTCTTTTGAGAGCTACCCTGAGGAACAATGCATTCGAAGCACTTCATGAAAACATCCCTGCGTTCCGACAAGAGTACATGCCTTGGTGTGCTAGGAACAAGATGATCCGTCAGATGTATTGCGGACATAGGGTGGCTACTCCTAAACGCAAGGGTGGGCGTGAGGTGATGGTGGGAGTTGATGATAATATTCCACGTGTAGCTGACTTTATGCGACCTGCTGAAGAGGCCGTTAAAGTGATGCATTTGGACAACGGTAATATTCAGAAACCCTGGGGAACTAGCCTGCATTACCTTGTTGTTGCAAGCAGCAACAAGGGTGATCTTGGTATTATGTACGCAATTAAGAGAAACCAGATCTTTGAAGATATCTACAAGGATTACGCGGATAAAGTGGACTGCAAGGTGAAGGACATGTTCTTGACTAATGAAAGAACCGGGGTAGTTATCTCTCCACACGACATTGCTAAGTATGTGAGAATTAGCCAAGGTGATATGCTGGTGGCAAATCACAAGGTTTATATTCTAAAAACATTAAACGTTTAAATTATTTATTAATTTTTTTAATTGATCATTTTTTTAGTTTCGTTTGATACACCCTTCACTCAATTAATTGTTATTGTTGTGTACATGCAGAATCCAAAGTTTAACATGAATAGCTGGATTAAGAAGTTCTACATCACCGATGTCAGTGACAAGCCAAAAAAAGTGAAGGTGGATGGTCAGCTCGACACAAAACTTTGCAACCTATACCATCACTGCGGTACCTTGTTCAACTTTGATCTTAAGAAGGTCATGCTCATGAATCAGTGTCGAGTTTTAATCCCCAACCAGACAATTGAATCGGCAAAGATTCGGAACAATGGGGTGGTCTATGCACTTCCAAATGCGCGCTACAAGAAGTCATCCTGTGTAACACCCCAATAATTCTCCCTTTTCCAACCACTTACTTTAAATAAAAATAGAGGAGAACCATTGGCATGTTACCGCCACGTGTTAAAACGTTAAGGCTTTATCAAAGTATTGCAGCAGAAATCCAACTTAAATCATAAAATAATATAATTTAGAAAACCAATAAGTCAAAGCTTACAAATTGGAACCATAAAGGCCCTTATTAAAACCAAACCAATATTCAAAATCCCAAAACATAATTAAAATAGTAAAACATAAATAAGTTCAACACAAAGAACGAATACTCTCAATCACACCAATCCCTTGACAACGCGTATGTCAAATCCCCGAACTTCACATCATCAAGCTAACCTGTGCAATACTACTCCCCAATAATACAAGTGTAATAATTGGATCATCACAGGGTCATTAAAAGGCGAAGGCCATGACCAAAAGAAAACACACAAAAGCACGCAATCACCAAAGCTGAGTACATACAAGCTACAACGCACAAAACCTGACATGCTCAACTAATTAAAGCAAATAAACATACAACGTGAATTCATTAATCAAGACTCCACACTTAAACAATTCAATTGACTCAACATACTTACTAACTAATTCCAAACACTTGACTCTATATTTAGTTTAATTAATTTAGTTTGGAGTAAGCAATAGACGAGGTTGTCCAATCCACCAAATCATTTTGGTCCCAAATGACCATTTAAAATAAAAGTTTAGCGCGATGCAAGAATGGGCGCGACTCCATTCTCACAAAGTTAGTCTAGGATCCCATCTAACTTTCATTATAAAATAAAAATGTAAATACCAAAATAAAAGAGGACATGTTGATCAAACAAGCCTCGGAAAGCCACGGGCTACCACCGTGTACCCCAACCCATAATTGTCAATACTCTAGAAGTGCACTCTTTCTAGAGTTTTATTATTCATCCATGTTTCACTTTACGTGATTACAATTTTAATTAATAGCCGACTCAATCAAATAGACCATAAATAAAAATCATACATCATTTTACTTTTAATCTTATTTAGGACAATGGTGATCACATCACAAATTGACCTTTAATTCCATTAAACTTCCAAATTATCCAAAATTGGTGAACATAGTCAACCCACCTAGCCATTTCGGCTTAATCCACCTTTACTCAACATACTAACAAGTAATGATTGAGTAATAAATAAATAAATAATAACATTGTGGAATAATTAATAAATTCATTCCACTTAAACCATTTAATTCCAATCCTTTAATAATTCAAATGTGGTTAACAAATCAATCCAATAAAATTATGCTTGTATTAACATTCCATACAAACAATTAATCCAATATAATTCAACATGTTTGCATCCATAATCCCATAATAACATAATCAATTCACCAAAACATGTCTCATAAATATAAGCACATGCATAAATCAAATGTATAACCAAACAATTTCCATCCATGTTCTCTGATCATGAAACTAAGTTCTTTTCTTTGGTACCTAAACATGATACTACTTACAACGAAGTAGACATGTACGTACCTCGTATAAACAATCCTTTGTGCCACTTTTAATCACTTAAAAGTCTCCTAAGAAATAATCACTTCCTAGAAAACAAGCAACAACAATAAATTAATACTTAACCAAATTTCCAGCAATATAATTTAGATTAAAACTCCTTAAAACTTCATTAAAAACATGTTTTTATGCTTAATTAATCAATATAAATCCAATAGGAACAAAAGCCCCAATTTAATTAGTCATAAGAACCCTAAAATCCCAATTTAAATAAATTAAATCCCTAGATTTATAAATTATAAAATCTGAAAATGTATAACACAATTAAAATCTGAAATTAATACTTTAAACTATCAAAAACATGATTTTGATACTAAAAATATAAACTTTATACTATATAATCAAAACATAAACAAAATTAATTATTTTAAGCAAAATAAGAAGAACAAAGGAGAGAGAGGAAGGAGCAGCCACGAGGGGGCTTTAGGTCACCGGCGTCAGGTGGCCGGCGGCGGCAGCAAGCACGCCGGCAGTGAACAGTGGCAGCGGCAGCAGCGTGAGGCAAATTTCACGTGAAAGAGGAGGAAAGGAAAGAAGGAAAAAGAAAAGAAAAAAAAGAAAAAGGAAAAAGAAAAGAAAAGAAAAAGGAAAAAAGAAAAGAAAAAAAATAAAGGAAAAAGAAAAATAAAGGAAAAAGAAATAAAAGAATAAAATAAAGAGAAGAAAGTTTACTAACCTTTTTGTGTGGGGGAAATTTTGGGATGTATGGGGTATTTATAGGAGAGAGATTTGTAGGGTAAATAGGAGTATTGGGCCTCATAAAAAAAATAATGGGCCAATTAGACAAATTAAATGGACTAGCTTTGTTTAATACGTATGGCATAAATTGTAGAATGGACAATTAAAAATCCTTTTTGAACAAAATCAATTATCAACTCAAAAATAATTTGGAACTTTAAAACTTAAATCCCGGAAAAACACACATAAATATTATAAATAAAATAAAAATTCATTTATAATATATTTATAAAACGGGGGATTACATCCTGCATCCCCAAGTCTAAGTGAGCAGCCAACATTACCTTTTATCCATGGAGTTTGCTTACAATAAGTCTGTTTCTGTTTATGTGTTTGTACTGCTGTCTACAGTAGGTGGACTTTAGGAAATTAGTGTATGAGTTCACATTTGTTGTGGATTACATGCTTTTGTGTTCCAGTGTTGGTGAGTAATTGCTTCCATCGAACGATTTGTTTAGGTGATAAGCTGGTTTATTTCTGTTAAATCTAGTACACCATGGACAAGGTGTGGCTCAGTTGTGATGTGTTTTGTATTTCCACTCCACCAGTCTAAGTTTGTAGTACTCCGTAGGTAATTACTATGAATTATTAGGGATGTGGCACTGTTTAATCGTTCTATGATGTGAAATATTAGTAACTTTGTGTTTAACTATTGCGTTTACCTTAACAATATCGCATTTTATTTCAAATTATTGCGTGTATTCACAAAAACTTTAGCAGAAATACTTAAAAAGTAAAAAAAAAATATATAAAAAGAGCAATTCTCCTGGACCTGATCTGTAACAATAATATTAATGGGTGTAAATATTGTGGTCATCCCAAACCAAAAAATGGGTCAACCATTAATAACATATTCGAACGAAATTGGTCCTAGAATTTTGGATTAACAAAATGGACCCAACCAATAAATGGTTCAACCAAAATGGGTCCTCATTAAGAGCAACTGTTTAGCAGCAAACAACAATAAAATTCCCAAGGAAGAAATTATAAGGATTATTGCTGATCCTAGTGAAGATTGCCAAAAGATTGATGTGTTTCCAACAAAAAGTTTAACAATAAAAAAAAATTGATTTGTGATCACTCTACAAAGTGAAGCACAACGCACTTAATAACAGAAATTAAATCATTAATCAAGTGTATTTAGAGCATGATATATAAATCTAATATGGTTCCAATGTGATCTAACCACATTAATTGCTCCACATGAACACAACACATTTCCAAAAGGTTGTTCGAACAATGCAGAAATAGTCCAAAAGATTGTAGCCTAAACCAAGCAACTACGATCCTTAAAAACAAACTACTAATACTAAAGCTACACAGTTTGACCTGAATACATAATAGGAAGTCCTGGATACAGTTCTACGCCACAGCCAGCTAATTAGAACTCAAAAGACGAGGTTGGGCTGGCTACACCTTCACCAGCAGCCCCGCGTTTTGTAGTGGCCTTCCTCTTCCGTCCCTATTGACCAACAAGGGATCAGATTCAGAATTCAATAGGTGATGAATGAAAACAACAAACACTTATGGTTATAAGTTATCTACCTTTTGTTTGGGGATGGGTTTCTCAGCTGGAGATTTTTCATCATAAGAGGTTGGGGTGGCTGCAACTTCACCAGCAGGCCCGCGTTTTTTAGTGGCCTTCCTCTTCATTTCCTATTGATCAACAAGGGGATCAGATTCAAATTACAGTAGATGAAGAAAACAACGAACACTTGTGGTCATATGTTATATACCTTCGTTTGTTCATGGGTTTATCAGCTAGAGTAGGTGCAACAACTTCATCAGCTCCTGGTTCATTTTCATCAACTAGGGCAAGAATCTACAATCACATTTCAAACAACCATTTTAAGTAAGGTTATACTGTCATAGTTGAAATGAATGCCCAGATTAGGTGAATGTACCGCCTTGGTTTTCTTCTTATAACCCAATTCTGCAAGTGTTTTATTTCGCGATCCTTTGGGCCTTCCGCGAGGATGTTTCCGTGATTTTGGGTCTAGCACCTGTTGGGTAACTGGTGGCGGTGGGTCAACTAGGGATTCAGTGATTTCTGGCTCTAAATCGACCCACTCTACATCTTCCTGAATGCTACCTTCCACCCATCCTTCATACATGGCGGACGGTTTTGTGACAGAAGACGGAGTGATTACATTATTAGTCGAAACTTTTTCAGAGGGAGGATACTTTCTGCTAGGAAGTAGCTGAACCCCATTCTTTGCAATGAACTTCTTCCTCCTTTCCTTTACTTCAATCCTTAGCTTTGACAAGGATGCAATCACCATCTCTACTGTATCCTCATCAACAGCAGACGCTTCATCGCATATTGGCTCAAACTCGGACATGATCTTGTTGAATCTCTTCACCTCGGCTGTATCCGACAGATCATGGTATGCAACCTTAACACGGGTACGCTTTCTAACAACATCCTTGCGCCATCGGTCCAAGATGTACTTGTCTGGTATCTTGAACACAAGGTTTTGAACAAGTACACGAATGCAGTGCTTGCAAAAAATACCGAATGTTTCAAATTTACAACAATCGCAACTGAGTTCGTTCATTTCTCGGTTAAATCTGACACAGTAAATTCGCCTTTTGTCCATTATAACATCTTCGCTCCTTCCTTCCTGAACAATCCACACTCTATCCTCAAGATAGTAATGGACATTGTGTTCATCAATCACTCTTTCCTCCCGCCCATAACAGTACATCATCCTTGACAATTCTTTCTAAATCTCCTAAATTTTGCATCAGTATATAACTTCTAGAAGACCTTCTCAACCTTAAACCCACTGACTAATCGCCGCACATATTTTGTCGATTTGGTATCAGCTTCATTTTCATCTTTCACCCTCCTAGACATAGCCCTACTGTACTTATCTGGGAACTCATACAACTTAGTCTTCCGGTTCACAACACCGTCAAAAAAGCTGTTGATGCTTTCTACACGTTGGGTAGTCTTCATCCCAGCCCAAAAGTATTCCTTCATATAGGACGGGATCCACATGTGACGCTCTTCAAACAGGTCACATAACCATTCATTTTCCTCTAGGTCGTACTTCTTCATAAACTCAAGCCACCGACTCTCAAATTCCTCAACCATGAAGCTTTCATAAATGAAAGCTTTAAGAAGATTTTTGAATTCAGCATAACTGACAAAAAAAAGTACAATTTATACCTGATAAGTACAACTCTCATTTATGAAAGACTGAATTACAGCAGATACTACATACAATATTCACTGCATACAAAGATAAATAATAATAACAGATTGAATATGTAGATTGAGTAAATAATTATGGCAGACTGAATATACAGAAACATGCATTCAAATACATAACCCCTCTATGCATCCATTCTTCAGCGCCATTACTGTAAAAATCTTCAAAATGCTCCCCACACATAAAGTATACGTATTCTGATCCTCATCCAGATTGAATATACAGTATTCAATGCATACTAATATAAATAATTATTCTAAATTATACAATGTAGATTGAATAAGTAATTATGGCAGATTGAATATACATATAAATAAGAATCAAAGAATGTACAACTTCAAATAATGGCAGATTGAATACACAACAACAACCAACAAAATGGGATTTTGAAAGCAGCAAGTAAAGACAAAAACAATTAATTCTCCACTAAAGGAGTGTAGCAAAGGAATGTTGTGAGGGCACACTACCAGTACATGACAGATCCTAATTGCTAGGTCACATGTGAAGAGAAAATGCTTAATATTTAAGGGAGGAGTGGAAAGAAATTGTTATGCAAGTTTTGTTATCTAAATAGGCTAGTAGCAGCAATAGAAGTGAGTTCCATGACTCCAGTTATTTATGTTAACAGTAGCAGTAGCAGTATATTGTAACCGTTGCCTTAATCTTCCTTTTTTAATCAAATCTCTAACATTTCCCCTGTTATTCCTCTGTTAGTTGTTCATAGTAGTTGCTGTCATTTACTCGAGTTCTAGAAGATCTAAACCAAGAATTGTCAATTCTAGCAGATTAGTCCTAGCATGTGCCAATACGTCGTAACAAATAAAACATATATACAAAAGTTATGGATACACTTACAAATTGCATTTCCCAAGCTTATCAGGAAACTTTCTCATAATGTGCCATATGCACCATCTATGGCGCGTTGCTGGCATGATTTCTGCAATCGGCCTTCTCATTGCTGCTGCTTGGTCAATAAGAAATCCCAAGGGTGCCCGGTTCCTCATACATGCCAGCCATTGTGTAAACACCCAAGAATAGGTGTCACAATCTTTGCGTGATACCAGGGCACATCCCAAGAGCATTGATTGACCATGATGATTCACGCCAACAAAGTTTCCATAAGGGAGGTCGTAGTTGTTGGTCAAGTACGTGGCATCAAAACATACCACATCACCGAAATCTTCGTAGGCCGCACGACTCCTAGCATCCACCCATAGCACATCATTTAGCCGACCTTCTTCATCCAATCGATGTGCATGATAAAAGTTTTGGTTGTCGGCTTGCATCTTCTCAAAATACTTCATCATCGCTACGGCATCGCCACCTTCCATTTTCAACTTCTTAGCTTTGTATACCTTGTGCTCTAGGTCCTTCACATTAGGGAGTTTGTCTTTTTCATGAGACAAGCAACCATGTATTTTCTTAACAGGAACACCCTGTTTGTAGTAATTAAATAGCTTCTTACGTACAGACGAAGTGTAATTCTTCATCATGTACTCTTTCACTAGATTTGCCATGGTCGGGGTAGGTTGGTGGCCATCATGTTCTAGTTCGGCTGACCGTATTACCCACTCACCTGCATCATTAACACTTGCATAAATGTTTTCAGGACAAAAGCATTTTTTAGACTTTCTCTTTCCTTGTTTCAGCTCATCCACCCCTATTACACCGTTAACCTTGCCTCCAGTTCCACCTACTTCCATTGCTTTGGCCCTCTTCTTGGCCTCCCTTAGGGCCCTCATGTTCGGGGGACCCCAGCATTCACTCCTCTACCTAGTACCCCTACGCTCCTTAGTCTTCTTAGAAAAAGATCCATGCACTCTAGATACACCAAAACCATTACTAAAAGTATACAATTTGAAGTACTCCTCTATGTCCTCCCAGCTCTTGAATACCATACCCTCCTTTGGAGGTTCAACAAGGGGCACATTAGTTGATACAACAGTCTCAACAGTCTGAACAGTGCAAACTGTCTGTATAGGAGATTGGTAGACAACCTCCTGTGATCCAAGCAGAGGAGAGCTGTGGTTCAACAGTTCCATATTTTCCATGCTTATCCCATTCCCCACACAACCAAATTCAAAGCACATATTTGAGCTCGGATATAACTCCATATGTTCCATGCTTCCCTCACACCCAAACTCATCAACACCATCCACAGAATCTTGACAAAATTCAGGGTCATCAACTATGTCATCACCCAAACTAATAAATTTACCAACATCAGGAGGATCAACATCACCACCATCCACATCCATTGTATAAGAGATCTGTTCAACCAAAATTGACACACAAAAACCTTGTTTTTTAGAATTTCCAACCTTGTTTTTTAGAATTTCCATAACACTAACTTGTTTTTTAGAATTTTACAAAATGTACATTTTGGGTGAAACACCCGCCTCAGAAGCATAAAAATTAATTGCCGACTAGAAATACTTAATGTACTGATGCAATGACTTAAATTGGTGTGTTCAGTTCTACAACTTATTAACTAAACAAGCAGATTTACAATCAATTTTTCTAAAATTAAGAATTATTAAACTAATTCAAAAATTAGGTAATTGATGTAGTGACTTAAATTCAATCCAAACATTAGGTAATTGATGCAATGACTTAAATTGGTGTGTTCAATTCTACAACATATTAACTAAACAAGCAAATTTTCAATCAATTTTACTAAAATTAAGAATTATTAAACCAATTCAAAAATTAGGTAATTGATGTAGTGACTTAAATTCATATTTTCTAAAATCTTACATTAATACGACCCCTGAATAATCCGTTAGTGCTCCACCAGTGATCTTTAGACGCGCACGTCAGTCAGGATTGTTATGAAAAGGGGGCAAGCGGAGCAAACTCAAGAAAATGGAGAAAGTTGAAAGACGGAGCAAACTCAAGAAAATGGAGAAATTTGAAAGTTGATAAGGAAGCCTTACTGGAATCGTGCTAAGGAGAAAAAGGGAGTTAACTCAAGGTGTTCAACTTGGGTTAACTACTAACGGCATTGCATGTTTTCGTTAGATGGTCCGTCTTCAGCATCTTGCATGTGGTTTGTCAGAAAAAACGTTACACCTCAGCGCATCCCCATTGTTTATTGTTATTTTGTACAGTTTAATTACAAGAATGCCACTTGATAAACAAAAAATGTTTATCAAGGGGATCAACTTGTATTTGCTCTATAACAAATACTAAAATATTAAAAGTCATATGGAAAAGAGACAAAGAAAGAAAGAGAAAGATGTGTGAGACCACTTCTAATTGTACCAATGAAAATTTATATAATACCATTAGTAGTACTAATGCAGTGTTATGCATTTGCAAATGCATAACAAATACTAAAATATAAAAAGTCACATGTAAAAAAGAGAAAAAAAGAAATAGAAAGATGTGTGGGATCACTTTTAATTGTACCACTGCAAGTTTGATGAGGAAGTACTAATCAAGGTCTGTGATGTATGAGAAAATATATAACAAAGGGTAATTCAGACTTTTCACAAACCAAAAATATCTAAAGTACTCATGTAAATCGAATTAGTACCATTGTAGTTCTTAGTGGTAGTATTTTAATTCCTAGAAGTACAAATTTGTTATTTAGTAATATTAAGTTATTTGATAGTAGTTGATAGCTGATTTCATCTTAAAAGTTAGAGAAAATTTCAAATAAGCTATAAATTTTGTCAATCTTCAGTAGTATTATTAATGGTCTCAGTAGTAGAAAATTACGGTTCAGCAGTATAAAAATAGTATCCAGTGAAAGATCTTAAATAACCCGATTTTTCTTAAGCAAATTTACTAGTTGTCTTGCTATCAACTATTTTAAAAAATTTACTCATAATCGTGTTTTTTCCTTTTTGAATTTCACAGTAAGGGGGTGAAAAAAGACTACTGTACTGCGATTCTGGACCGCAAGAAACCGCCGAATCGATTGGTTGTTGATGAAGACGTCTTGTTGTTGCCATGAAACCTTATACTATGGAAAAGCTTAAGCTCTTTCGTGGTGATACTGAATTGCTCAAGGTATAATCTTGTTATTGTTGTGATTCATGGTGTTATTAGGGTAATTAGGGTTCCTTCTATTAAAAAAAAGGGTAAGTAGGGTTCTTGGTGCAGTGATCTCTTTATATGAATTGATTATAGCTCCATTATTTTGTTGAATTATAGCTCAATGTGAAAAAATTGCCACATCAAATGCTGGATTTTGTACTAGGAATGTAATGATCAATGTATTCTTATTTTATATTTTTGATGCTTAATTGGAAGAGAGGCAGAATATTGATAGTCATCTGATTCATTATGTTGTGTAATTGATTGCTTTAGTGATATATGTTCGTTGTAAGCATATACAGTAGTGATTTATCCCCAATTTTTTTTACTAGGAATGTAATGATCAAGTAATTATTACTAATTAGTGTCTTCAATCATTTTATACAGTGGATGATAGCAAGAAGAGGGATAGTTCATTTTGAGATCCCTGTTGGGGAAGGTGTCATCAAGGATTTACAACTTTGGATCAATTTATCATCCAAAGATAAATTGTAAAAAGTTTCCTATCATTTTATTTTGCTTAATATAACACATCCTAACGTTTACTCCTGTCCGAAAATATTAGTTACATTTATAACTTTAGGAACGACTTAGGTATAACAAAAAATTAAAAGAAAAAAAATTATGCGTTTAAATGATCCTTTGCTTTGCTTGTGCCAGGTAAGTGACAGAAAGTCAATCACAGAAGGTGAGGTCTCATAAGCAAAGCTCCTTGAAAAAGCAATTACACCTCAAATATTATGAATATGAAGCTTTGAAGTAGGTAATTCTCAGATCACCTCGCTGGCTGCAAAAACCTAAAACCAGCAAGCGGGATGTACGACCTTCGACTAAGATGAGAATAATGTGAAACTCGAGTGATTATACATTATTTAAACTTTGATTTTAGGGTGACATGTAAGATAATGCACTCACGGCTCACGCCCGTACTTGAATTTACAAGATAGGGATTATTCATGGTCTCTTTTTGGGCAGTAATTCTTGCACCTTTGTGAGACATTTTGGTATTGAAAAATAAAAATAATGCTAGAGAGAATGAGACCACTTAAGAAAAAACAATTAAGAAGAAAGACCACTCATTTAAGAAAAGAAAGATTACTTAAGCAGAACGATCACCTAAGAAGAAAAGTCACTTGAGAAAAGAAATATCACTTAAGAAAATCAAGAGACCAGTTAAGAAAAGGATAATTAGGAAAGTTAGCTTCAGAAAGAAAATTAAGGCAATTGTCTTATTAGGATAAGGATAAAGTGATAAAGAGACCACTTAATCTTTTATACGAAGTACTATAAGATGTTCAGGTACTAAAAATTGTGTCATGAAAATTACTAAGGAATTTACTTTCTCCATTCTTAACCAAACAAATTTGTTGAATTTCCATGCTTTTGATGATGGAATTTATTTCCCACAAATTGAAATTTCATGGGAATTTACACTTCCCTAATGAACCAAATGACCCCTTAAAGTTCACACTAGCAGTCTTCTTGGATTTGTTTTTTATTAATATCAAAATTTTATTATTTTTGAGTGCATGGAATTAGATATGTACGTTTTAAAACACGTCTTGGAGACCGTAAAAAATTAAATGAGACAAAAAAAATGTGGGCCGAAGGAGTAACACATATTAACGTTTTAAAGCCCGACCTCTCTTACATAAGACATCACAAGAACAAGCTATCTATGCTATAATAAGATAAAAACCTTTAAATAATTGTCCGGCAAATATAACTTATGAATTGGTTTACATAACTTGTTCTCTTCCATAAAAAAGTGTAAAATTATACACTTATTTTAATTTTAAACTTTCCAAATTCACTCACACTTATTATTACAAAAAATTTAACAATCAAAATAACCACTTTATAACAATTCCTTAATAAATCACACTCCTATTTTTCGCCTTTCATAACCCGTCATTAGAAATTTGTATTTACAATTTTCATCAACATTTTCACTTCAAACTCATAACTTTCAAGAACTACCAAAACAAAAATCCCCCACATTGTCACCACTTTAAACACGAATGACACATTATACTACAACTTAGCAACGCACGCGTAGCGCGCGCTTACCACCCTAGTAAATATAAAAACCCTTTTCAAAATCTAGATAAAAATAAGAAGTTTACAGTATTACTCCCTAAAAGACTTACTAGTAACTAAGAAAAGAACAAATAAACTAAAAATAAGCCATTATATTTAGGAGAAAACGCTTGAAGAATTACAAGCCCTATTCGATAAGGAAAAAGACCCTGATAAGCTTAACGAAATCATGAATTTCATTTCCAAAAAAGAGATTGCTTCTGATAATGAAATAGAGGAAAATAATTATGTTACTTTTGAGGAAGATTTATATCAACAAATGAGATTAATGAAGTTAAAAGATCTATACTTTCTACTCATAGAAGTTGTCCAACAAAAGATTGAAAATAAACTAGGTAAAAGAGTAATGCTGGATAATAATAATGTCGGAGAAGAAATTGTTAATGAAAATATTAATGTACACAATGTTATTAATGTACCAAGGAGAAGGAAGTTGCACACGACCAAGATACATACCAGGGAAGACTACCCGGTTTAGTATTAAGGTTATGCCTAACCAAATTCCTAAACAGGAAGAAGTAACTCTTGTACCTATAAGTCAAGCCGGTTATAAGCTTAAAATAGATGGTGTAAGAGATAGACAAGATGTTTTAGATCAATGGAAAGAGTTTATGAGTAGTGTACTTAATCTAAACACTAAAGGACTTCCTGAAGATTTCTTATATGATATCGAACATAGAATCTATGGCTGTGTAGAAGATTGGTATGATGGTATAGAGGAAGAAGTCAAAACTACGTTAAGAGCTAATGAATCTCCTACTAGAATGTTTAGATGGCTATGTTAATACATTGAGTTGGAATTTATTGGTCCTAGCGCTGATCCTAATGAGAAAAGAATAGAATATCAAAGAAAGTTAAGTAATTTGTCCATCTGTAATATGAAATATGTAGAGAATCATATTATGGAATTTGAAACTTATTATTATAAAATTGGTAAAAATTAAACAAATCTTGGAATGTTCTATGATAAATTACCAATTCCTCTTAATGATGAAATTAGTGAAAATTATCAAGAATGGAGAGAGAAATATTTAGCTAGGGATGCCTTAGGTAACAAGATTGTCTTCTTAAGAAAGTGGATTGAAAAGAAATGTAGAGAGATTGCAGGAACTCAACAAATGAAAAGACAATTTCTTACTTGTTGGGATTTCCCAAATAACTATGGATGTGAAAGAAAAAAACTATAATAAGAAAACAAATAATAAAAAAATAAATTTGATAGATCAAGAGGAGAAGCCTATAAAAAGTACTATAAACACAAGTATAGAAAACCAAGTAGGCTTTTTAAAAAGGCAACATATTTTCATGAGAAAAAGAAAACATACAAGTGTTGGTCTTCTGGAGAATTAGGACATTTTATGCTAATGAATGTAAGAAAGCTAATCATAAATTAATGGAAGCCTTAGGTAGTTGGGATTACATAGAAATACTAGAAGACGAGGCTTTAGAACCGGCTTTAAGTAATAATAAAGGAATTGTAGAGATAATAGAGGAAGAAAATGAGTATAATAAAGAACTTGAAGATAGCGAAATTGAAGAAGAAATAAATAATATGATGGAAGGAGAAGAGTTAGAAAATTCATAATCAGATGACAATGATGAGGATAAAAGCAAAATGACTATAGGTCAACTAAAAAGAGCTGAGTATTCATTTGAAGATAATGACCTAGATCAGATAATAAAAAAAACCTGGAATTTCCCCCAAGATTACAAAGGATAAAATATTTTAAACTTCTTTCTTTAAAACTAAAACCAAATATGTATGTGAAGAAATGGAAAGAAGTATAGTTACTGAAGATTGTGAACAAAAGGCAACCGAAATTAATTTCATAAACTGAAAAAGTAATAAAATATATAAAGAAAAAGGAAATTATACTTATATTTGTATTGGGGAAGTGCAAGTGTACATAACTCCTTTACAAGATTTTGGCAAGGATGTTAAATGCTTAAGTTTTATTTGTGACATTAGACATAAAGAATTTTATGATCAAATAATTAGTGGTATCACATGTAACTTAAGTCAAGAAACATTAAGCTATATAAGTGAACCTAGATATTATGTGAGCTTAGTGGATTCATTTGCGTCAAATTAAAGTTTTTAGCTATCATGCTATTAACAGAAGGAGTGAAAATGCATAAAGGAACACGACCCATACAATTAAGATGGAAGGTGGTTTATACGTTGGTAAATACTATAGATTCATCTTTTAAGAAACAAATAGTCGATGCTCATATATATGAGCAAGGAGGAGGCCTTAAGAAGAAAATTACACTTATAAAAGTAAATTCTAACGAAATTGAAATTGAAAAAACTTGGGAAGAATTTTGTAATGAATCCTGCAGTTAGTAATAGATCAAGTAAGATGTTAATTGATGAATCAGGATTACTTCATATTGGGATGACTATAAAACCTAAAATACAGAGAAATAATGAGTCTTAAAACACCAAGTTTAATTCGACAAAATTTAACAATAATAAGGATGAAATAACAAGGTGATGAAAAGCTAGATGAGGATGAAGAAGAAATATTAGTTCTACTAAAGAAGCTAAATGAAAAATATGAGAGTAAAAAAGCCTTAAAACAACCAGCAAGACATAGCATTGATATAGGGTTATATTCTAATTTAGAGTTAAATGAAGATCCAAATAATCCTATTGATAAAAGAAAGGTAATTGGATATAAAACGAAAATTGTAAGTGAACCAGTATATGAAGATAAAGTTAATATGCAAATAAAAGCTTGTAATGAAGTAACCAGTACTAATCCAAATAGAATTTATATTCCAATTGATATATACATTATAATAAATATTAATTATGTGCATATATTTGATAGTAGTTGTTCTACATGTTTTGGAAAAAGATCATTATTTCCAGAATTTCTATGGAAAAAAGCTAAGAATCCTATGCAAGTTAGAATTGCTAATAATAGTGTCATGATGCATACGAAAATAATTGAAGAATTACCTATAAAAATTGGAGGAGTTCGATGTATTATTCCTATTTTATGGGCAACTGATCAACCTAGTTATGATATGATAATAGGAAATAATATTCAAAGGTTATACTTCCCATACTCTATAAAAGTTTCATATGAATTTATTTATTATACAGTAAAAAAATAATAATAAAACTAGGTTTCATATTTTAGTTCTAGAGTACAAAATTGACCTTCCCGATCATTCAAACTGTACAAATATGATGCTACATTATAGCAAAATTCGTGGAGGATCGGAAGAAGTACTATACAAAGGTTAAAGAACCAAATAATCAACCTATGAAACACAAAACAACAAAGCCTTTATAGTAGCAACATTAATTTGAAAACGAGCTGATAGCAATATACAATAGTGTAAGGATATAGGATTAGCTCAATGTTCAGAATAAGCGACGATAAGGATGCTGCATTTTTTTGTAGCATTGAGGAAATGAGCTCTTCACAAGTCTTGGGAATGTGAGTTCGACAAAGTATGAAACCGCGAATCTTATGGTCCAAAAATCATTCCCAAAATCAGACGGGTTCCTTTCTTATGATCGCTCTTGAATTATACACCCACTGATTGACTTGAATCTTCCACATTCACCAAACAATTTGTCGCGCTTTACTCTAAAATGTCTGATTTCACAGTGAACTCTTTGACCTTACGCTGACTAATACAGGTTCATGCAGTTACGGTGAGCCTCAGCTTGACATGCTCCTTTCTGTTCGCCTGCTAGCAGTGTTCAAACAAATTCCAAGTCTCCTGCTACAAAAGACAAAACAAATACGGAGTACTAATTAAGTAAAATGTGCATGAGTTAGCTCTCACAATGGCCTTGAACAATCATTCATCTCAAAATAGAAAGTCAGGTGCAGGCTCTGCTAATGAATCAGTGTAAATGAGCCAATGACTTTTTACTATACTGAGTTGAAACTTTGAAAGCCATAGTAGATGTTTGCAGGGTGAATACAATGAAGGAACTCTACCAAAGCAATACATCAAACGAGTTCCCAATAACACTACAAGTGTACTAGGATAGCAATCATAGAAGGAAAGGGAGGAGAAGGAAAGTTAAGGAAATAAAGGGGAGGGGATGGAGTGGACTAGCATATTCATTTCAAAACTGGTAGGATTTGGTTTATTAGGCAACGAAAATGAATGCTTTCGAATTTCACTTCTCTGCCCTTTCCTTTCTACTTGTCATATCCAAACAAGGGAATCCCTTCCCTACCAACCTTGCATGAAAAATCATCCGATGAATCTTCTTGATTAGCAGCTAGATGGACCTCTAAAAGGTCATATATTCCAGTATGTTTATTCACCCTTTTTTCCCCTCTTAGGTTTGGATCAGAAACAATCATTATCTTTGGATCAAAGAGCCTTTTTTCATTTACATACTTGGTAACAATGTCCACTACTACATCGTAATGTGACAATTCTGTGCTTGCATCAACACCTAAGGATGCAAGAAAAAAAAAACACGAGTGGTTAAGCGGCTTATGAACTTTTTTTTTGGACTTTGCCTTGTCCCTTGACTGCACAGAGACTTTCCTTCTCACAAATGACTTTTTTTTTTCCACTTTTTTTTTTGAAGCCTAATCCTCTATAGTTTCTCATTCCCAGTCTTCAAAACTATTCAATTTCAAAATTTTGGTCTCTATTTGTAAACTTGTCTCTATCATCTAAGTATCTATAGTTTCTGCCTTTTTTCAACAAAGAACGTGCCTTTTGGAGGTCTTCCAATCCCAATCCCAAACCCTCACTTTTCTAGTTTTCTTGATGATTTCCCAATAATCACAACTTCACAAGTCCCTCTCTCTGTCAAATTAGCCTTCTCCTGAAAAGTAAGCAAAAACAATTCTAGTAAAACAGAAGCAAGACCAAAACCTCATGACAGAAAGAAGCAAGAATGTTATGTTGGAATTTAAATTTCATAAAATGTCAACAGTATATGAATAGTAGTATAATTCTTGCTACTCGTGACAAAATAGCACATAGAATGTTAAAATAATTGTCTCGGTTTACTCTCATAGGCACCTTGATTAAACAGTTGTTTAAAATCATCCAGATGACAGAATATACAATTTCGTAGCTAGATGAGAATGGAATGTCAGACTAAAATCCATACAGTTAGCTATTCTATAAGGTAATGAGAGAAAAGAGAGGCTCAAATGCTGAAAATCTTGCATTACCCCTTAATTTAATGAAATGATTCACACACAAAATCTGTATCTACAAACAGCAAGCTTACCCATCTGAGTCGATATCTTTTTTCCCCTCTCACAACAAGGCAAACATTATACTGTTGCAACAGAATCCTTTGATTCCTCGGACAAAATTGAATTATGCTTCACCCATACACTGTCCAGTGTCCACAAACAGCAAGTGGACAGCAAAAGCAGTAAACTTTTGCAGTTTTCTTATTAACCAAGACAAACAGGAAAGAAGAAAGACTTGAGCGAAATAATAGTTTGGAATGCTTACGTTGAGATCATGTTGGCCAACACAAATTTAGTAAAGCGTTGTCTAAGCCTTTTTGGAAACACCATCAAAAGAGAGCATCATGATAGCCCACAATTCTGTCACCAACCTACCAAAAAGGAGGGGCCACATGTTAGTTTTATATGTCTCTCCTCTCCCTCCCCTTTGAACTTTGTGTTTGTCAACTCCTGGCCATTATTGGAACCTGTCTACTGTTTTAGCAACCGAAGACCTTCTTTGGGTCACTTGAAAGTTTTTAAATGAAGGTTTTGTGAAGTTCAAAGAAAGGTCTTATTGCTAGAGAGGCTCCATTTACTTCTCTATTTTCCTATTACAAAACATAAATACGTCAAAAAAAGAACCATGAGTCCTAAGAATAAAGCTTTTTGAGAATTATCAAAGTTCGTCTTTAACAAACATCACTCAAATACAGAGTTGGCTTGGCGATAAGGAATAATCTTCTGATTAGCTATGGACACACATAAACTTCTTCTTCTTCTTCTTCTTCTTCTTCTTCTTCTTCTTCTTCTTCTTCTTCATCTTTTTTTTTTTTTTTTGTTTTTTTTTTTGTTTACCTACTTCGCCTCCTCAACCTCATAGATTAAATACTCCCTTCGTCTACAAGTAATGCCTGGCATATGCAAGGAGTGAATTCTTGCCTCCCCAGTCCCACGATGAGCCTAAATTAGGATATGATGTCTTTTTTGGCCCCTGAACCTATAAAGTAAGAATATTGACTTCTCCAAACTAGAAATCTTAAAAATGTAAGATCCTCGAACTCCTTCAAGAAATAAAACACTCATTAGATTCCCTACCAAGAAAGATAAGAAGGATAAGAAAGTATATGTTGGACCCAAATAACCTACAAAGGCTGGGAAAAGGAAACTAAAAGGTCAATCCTTACCAAAACTTACAACCATAAAAGATAAAACAACACGTTCTTTACCTACCTTGTATTAAACCAGATAACAAACTTCTAAGGGCTTAGGAGTATGTATCTCTCCTAACATGGCCCACCCATTGTAAATCACTTATATGACAGGTTAGTCAAAAAATTAGTTTCCCAGATGTCTAAGCACTTCTCCCCTCTGATTTTCTTTCAAACCATTTAAACTTACTAACACCATTAGAGGTTGGTAATATATAACATAACAACAAAGCTCAACTATGAAAGTATTTATAATATAAACTCAAGGCTATGATATGATTGATTCATATTAGAGATTTAACCTCCATACATGAAATGGAAGGAGCAATGTTTTCACATTTGACTGTATTCCTAAAAATAAATACCAAGGTTGTAGTAGATGTAACATCACAAGTTAATCAATAAAACATAGTTTATGCAAATTTTACTCAGCAACTGAAGATGTGTGAAGTGTCCTGTCAAGTACATGGAAAGATAGAAAAGATCATTCATCTCAGTGAGACACAGAGTAAAGAAAAAGTTTTTTACCACATCTGAAACTCTCGTCACAGTCCAGAGCTGAATCATCCTTTCCAACACACTGAGCGTGATATGATTTTAAGCAGTCCCTAGAAGTGAAATATTTAATCATTTAGAGTCAGTAACTTGAGTCTTGAGGAATTACCATCAAGACAAAAACATCAGCGAGGCATGGAAAGCATGATAAAATTGTTAAGGCCGTGAAGAAGAAACCAATCAAGAAGTTTAAAAAATGTCCAGAGGAGCATAAAAGGAAAAGGATGCTTTCAAAGAGGCAAACGATTTACTTTAAAGTATGATAAATGATGAATTACATACAAATTGTTATACTGTATTTAGTTTGCAGGCATTAGAGCAAGTTTAGGCTTACTGTCATGTCACGTGAATTTTCTGTTCACTTCAACACCAGACATATAAAAAAGTCTTCAGGAATATCTCAACAGGGTAATAAGGATGAGAGCCAAAAGTAGTATCATATCCTCCTATCGACTATTACATCTTTCTTTATTCCACTTGGCATTTCCTCTTCTTTCATACTAATCTGAGATTTATCAAATTCAACCTGGCATTGTTGAGTTGATAAAAAGAGAAAAGAAATATGCTGTTAATATTGATATTGCACGCAGGAAAAAACATGAAGCCATGATAGTTAAGAATTGAAAGTTGCACTCTACAAATGTAGAACTTGAGTGTCACGATATTACCTAAATACACTAAGCTGCAAATTATAAACCATGGCTCAGGCGCTCAGCTAACCCCTCAAGTCCTCAACAATACCCTGTGCTTAGCAATTAGTTAGTTATTTGATATCAGTATTCAGCAACATATTTCAAAGCGACATTGGCAACACATACAACCAAATATAGGCAGATAATAAAATGTAAATATATATAACCAAAAAGGCAAAAACATACTCAACTTCACAGCTTCACTTACCATCATGTCACACTTGCAGATTTGATTGGGTCCATTTGCTCCATATGTCAAATGGATCCCTCCTCACTTCACTTGAGTACAAAGGTAGGGAAGTTTATACGAAAAAGTAATATAGTCTTTTGTACTGTAGTCACTAGTCAGCTATTTCATTCACACTATCGACCCCTCCCTCCGGAGTCCTCTACAAAGGGGGATGGGGGGAAAATGTCTATAAATTCCAAACAAAAATCATATTAGCCTTCCCAAGACATACATGGCCAAGATAGTGAAAATGGTTTTGCACTTTTGCAGCAAAATAGTGTTAGGCTACTGCAGAACGAGCTGCTAATAGATAGCATGCTAAGAGAGCAACTCAGCCCTGTTGGCAGATAAGGCACACATTATCTTGTCAAACTCCTGAGCACTGTAATAAACGATGCATAACCTCACCTCGTACTGTCAATAATTCACCATGAAAAATGGACAAAACCAGCCACTTTTACTTCCAAAAGTGCATAAAAATAGTATTTTAAAAAAAAAGTATGTCACAGCTAATAAAAACGTAAATATTACCACGAAGCTTAATATGACTTCCACTGGTATTGAAGTAGTAGGCTTGTACGAGATTCCTTAAATCAATTTAATCGTAACTTATTTTGTAGAAAATTGACATGGTACACTGTTGCCAGTGACATGACTCTGGAGCTTGTTACAACACTGACAAAAATAACTTTCACAATTCCATGCAAAGCTTGCTATTCATAGCAAGTTGAGAACCAAATGCCCAACGCCCTGACCAAATGCCCAATGCCTACTCTAAACGGGCAGCCTATACCACCTAGCCCAAAAAAGACAGACAGAAATCTCAGTGTTTTTTTTTTTTTTTTTTTTTTTTTTTTTTTTTTTTTTGGGGGGGGTGGGGTGGGGGGTGGGAGGTCACTCTGGCATATGGAGAAACGGTATTGCCACTAAACATCAATACATACTTCCAAAGTAAACAAACAAAAAAAGCACCACCGCAGCCTCAAAAAGAAAAGGGGGAAAAAATGCATAATGAGTTGTAGCATACCAAGAAGCATCAACAATCTACACATCTCAACAACAGCAAAGTCAGTAGAGCCTGAGCAAGAATAAAAGATCACATTGATAAAGGGCTACCAATAAGCTGTTACATGAATCAAACAATCCTAGGCCATCATTATCCCCATCCCCAAATCACTAACCTGCTTCATTCAGTCATACAGTGTGCTACAAGTTCACATAACACAACCATACAGGCTCACAGCCATACAAATCAATAGAACCTTCGCCATTAGCACACACATAATGTCATACTCTACCTATGCGTTTTAAGTTATGTTATAAGTACACCTGAAGACAAGTAGGCAACATTTGAATACATCTAACTAAACTCATTTTCATTCCTTTTTTTTATTTTTTTTTATTTTAATGGCACATAATTCCTAATTTCATTGTCCAAACTTCAGACTACTCTCTGTTTCTCCGTTTCTGACAACTACGGTGATCTTACCGGGGTAAAGAAAAAAATTATAAAACTTAGTTTCGAGAATAGCATAATGCATTGTGAAGCAAGCCAAAAAAAAAATAATAAATGAAGATATAGGGAAAATGAATAAAGTTTGACTTTCATTTAATCTTTTGTCATATTTGGTACATAGCTATGAAACACAAACAAAACTAGACAGAAACAGTGCGCCTATAGAGCCCTTCATCCTCACTTTCATCTTCTTCATCTGTTACATTATAACTTCCTGGCAGTTCTAACTTCCCACCCATGTTGAATGTGGGGCCAGCGCTCTCAGCTTCAAAGAAATCAGCCTGAAGTCTTTCTTCAAACCTTTTCTCACTGCAATTGAGAAACCATGCCAAGGAACACCTGATCCCTTTACTTTGTAATCTCTGATATCTAGGTTTAATTCGGGATTCCAAGCTATAAGTAAAGAATTCTGGATACTCAACTAGCTCTTTTATGGGACGGCCCATTTCACTCTTGAAGAAGTAAAAACTATTCTTCATGATCACAAGTGGCATGGCCACTACTTGTGGACATCTCAAGAGCATTTTAGCCACATCCTCGGCAGGTATACCCCGTGCTATAAGAAACTCAACAGGCTTCATAATAACATGCTGATTAAGGCTAACTATCTGAGGCATTCTCTCGACAATTCGTGCAAAACCTTCCGGATGAATCTTGAGCTTCAAATTGAAAAAGTACTGCTGGCTTGACATTTTTGCCTTCAAAGGCAACCCAAGAATCTGTGGGTATTGTGCTATAATCAAAGGAATTTTTTCCCTACTTATGCCAAAGCTAATCAAACATTCAACATTAGGTGTCACAGTTTCTTGCAAATCATAACCAATAACATATGGCCGCTTCTCAAACATTCGCGCCAATATCTTTTTTGGCAAACCCAATGAAACCAAGTACTCAACAAGTGGTTTAATCATCGTACCTACTCTCATCCCCAATAGATACGGATATTGTGTCACCATTGGCCCGATATCTCTAGGGTTCACCCCAATACTAACAAGATACGCCACCGATGTACTCATTGTACCTTCAAGCTTAAACCCCAACAATTCAGGATACTTTTGCAACACATATCCAATATCTTCTTTCTCAACATCAAGCCCGCGAAGGAACCTAATCACCGGAACAAGCTCAACCACTACACTAGCATGTAAAACTTGTGGGTAATTCTTCACAAACTCCCCTAATCTCCCCCTAGGTATCCCAATCTTTTCTAAATACCCCAACACCGGGATCATATTCTTTCGAACACTACAACCAAGCATCAATGGATACTCATTAATATCGTCAATACTCAACCCTAACTTCTGCAAAAATTCCACTCTTTCCCTCATAACATCAACAGTAGAGGGCAACTCAATATCCTCTAATTCATCAGTAATAATCCCCAAAGTCTTTAAATAATCACATATAATAACTTTTGAAACAAGCCTTTCTTTGCGACCTTGAACAACTCCCCAAGTAACAGACGGCATTTCATATTCAGAAAGTTTATTATTAGATTGCGTCGAAAATGAACGAACCCAATAAACCCCATAAACCCTAGAATCAAAAACTGGGGATTTTCCGAACTGGGTATTTCTAGGATTTGGGATTTTCGCATTGTACAATGATTTCAAGCTAAAAACTTCATTATTAATGAATTTATTCTTAAGAAAATAGCAAATATTTCTCCTAAAAAATGGGTTCATTCGAAATAACGAAGAATTAAACTTACAGAGATAATCTTGGATTGAAGAGCGACTTTGATTTGATGGAGAAATCTCGGAAAAAATTTGTAATAGAACTCAGTTTGCTTTGAAAGCCATCACTCAATCAGCAGGTATACGAGGATTGTTGAAGCTTTTCAAAGTTGGTTCAGTAGAGAGCTAGAGACTAGAGACTAGAGACAGGAGACGAAACCTCTAAAATCGATACCCCTCTGTGTTTTAATAAGACACTTGACCATTAATTTATGTAATTATATATCAATAAAATTATACTCCCTCGTCCCTTTTGCAATATTTTAACTGGACGCGCTTGTCGATGCATATGTTTGTCCATTAATATATTTTATTATATACTTATATAAGCTATAAAAAATTTATATTAAAAAACTATACATTAAAATAGACCCAACAATATATTACATTATTACATTGTCTTTCATATAATAGATATAAAAGATGGTCAAAGTGAGATGTGTGAATAGTGCAAATTGTCTTTCATATAATAGCTACAAAAGATGGTCAAAGTGAGATGTGTGAATAGTGCAAAAAGTCAAAATGTTACGAATAATTTGGGACGGAGGGAGTAGAAAAGTTGATATTATGAAAGTGTATGCTCCCTCCGTTACATATTATTCGCAATAAAAGAATATTTTATGTCTCACAAATAATACCCCTTTGTTGCGAGTAATTCGTAACGGAGGAAGTATTATAACAAATCTAACTATGTATTATTGTAGACACCCAAATGTATCTCCACAAAAATAAACCCAGTGATGAATATCTTTCACGTCATTTGATTATCGAACGAAGTGAAAGTGTAAAAAAGTCTAATGATGTGGTTGTTCTTATTAAAATATCCCTCTTGCTGTTTTTGAAAATATTTCTTTTTACACTCTATTTATGAAAATAGTCAGTATAATTTAGTTTGGTCCATGATAAGGGTCCAATAATAGCGTGGTTGGATTAGGCTCAAAAAAAGCTTTCCAACGATATATTATAAACCCAATTCAATGAATAATGTGGAAGTTATAACTTAAATTAAAATTGGCCCGAAATGGATTTTATATGCGGCCCAATGATCTAGAGAAGGGCATATTAATTATTATTCCTAAAGTTATTAGGATTGATTTTAATCTTCTAGAAGGTTCTTTTAAATTCTAATGAGATTAGGACTAATAATTATATTTTAAAGAGTTTTATTTTGAATAAAATAAGTGATTTGTCACAAACCTGATTTTAATATGATAAACGCGGAATTAGTTGCTTAATCGTATTTCCCCGTTTTTATTCATTGACAATCATCATCTCTCTCTATTCTCTCTCTAAAGCTAGAAACTTTCTTTTTTCTCTATTCTTTTTCTAAACCTTCCCTCTCACAAAATTTTACATACATTAGTTCTAGACACACCTAACAAAGTTCGAAGTTGCCTTCGGTCTAGACGTGAAAGATTTATAATTTCTAAGGGTTTGGTCTCAAATCTCTATTTCAATTATTTAATTTAATTGTTTGATTTATTATTTTTCTTGAAGTTACTAACGCGTGTATTTTGTTATTAGAAAGAGATACGATGCGTCTAAGTAAGTAATTTAATTGATTATTCTTTTGATATAAAAAGCATGTTTTGATTATTTTGATTCCTAGTATCATGTTATGATGTCGTTATAATTCCTAGTATCATGTTTAGGGTAATAACTAAAATTTCTAATATCATGTATGTTTACATGATGCTTCCTATTCTTTTTAATATCATGTTAGGGATGAAGCTTTGATCTTTAATGTTTAGTGACATGCTAAGATTTGTTATTAATCTCGTTAGTTCATGCCTAGGATCTTGCTAATATTATTATGCTTTAATATGATTATTGTGATGATTGTTGTTATGTTGCTTGATATATATTGTTATTGCTTGATCACGCCTTTTATGCATGTTTAAAGGAAATTTGTACTTGTAATCACGCTTAATAAGATAGTTAATAATCTTGTTTAGGCTAATGTGATTATAATTCAAGATAACCAATAATAGTTTTGTTTGTGCATTAATATTCAACCAACATAGATTAAATAGTTTAGGGTCAACCTATTGATTGTATGTTAGTCAGAAAGCGCACATGAATATGAAAAGAATAAAGTAGAGGCCCATTATTAGGGCAAGTTCAATCTCTTTTAGGTTGGATTTGTATCTTCATCCCCGAATATCCAGTCATGGTTCCAAACCACTATGGAGTTAGCGATCTCATGGATAATGAAGGGGTGTAACCTTCACCATGTGAACGGTTTACAAGTTCCTAAAACTTATTGTCGACTCTTTTGCTCTAGCTTCCTTCCCTTTGGACGCCACCATGCTTAAGTGTATGATCATAGTGGGGCTCAAGTGTTGGATGCTTGAAATATTCCCTACAATTATACAATAACATTTGTTTTTTTTTTTTTTGGTTTTATATTGGTAAATTAATCAAGCCAAAATCATTATGTGAATAGTGAAAAAGTCAAACTATAACACTTATTAAAATATGGAGGGAGTATGTGTGGATCGGGTTTAGGAATTTTGTGTATACGCTGTTTTGTGAACAGCTACTCATTTTTTTTCGAAATTTTATTCAAAAAAACCTTTTAAAGTAAACATTTTTTGGCTAGTTTTAATTTTTTTTTCTTGAAGACAGCCAAAGGCTACTTTCTGACGTTGACTCTTGTTTTTTCGGCGTTGACCACTGTTTTTCCCACATGTGCGTGTCACGTGATTTCTAATTTTCTAATCACACCCTTTTTCCTAATTCACTCGATCTCCTTCTCTCTCTCTCTTTCTCAGCTCTCACACACCATTATAGGACTTCGGTAAATTCAAAGCAATTGAAGGCTTTCCCAATAATTTTCGACTAGAGGTAATTGTTTAATACTTTAATTTGTCCATCCATATCTCAATTTTTCGAAACTTGATTACAAATTAGGGTTTTCCCCCCTTTTTAAACTTTCTCAATTACGCAATCCGCTTTGCTTTGTCCTTAGCCATGGCTGAGCTAAAAAGTAAAGTATCAATGCTATTTTTACAGATTTAAAAGAAAGAATCAATTTATAAATTAAACTTACTGTTTTTGGGTTGTTGTAAATTGAATGCATCTTCAGTGCTTTATTGATGATGTTGCAGTCATGGTATAAAGGAGATTAATTGCCTCGATGCATGTTCAAAAAGAGGAGAGAGAGAGAGAGAGAGAGTGTGTGTAATTGGAGGGGAAAGGGGACGATTAGGAAAATGGGGGTATGATTAGTGATTTAATTGTCACGTGAGTCACACTTGAGGGGAAAAGGTTGGACAACGCCGGAAAAGTGTGCGTCGGAAAGTGACACTTGGTTGTCTTCAACAAAAAACTTTTTAAAACTGGTTTATCCTGGCCAAATTTTTTTTAAAAGGTTTTTCTAAACAAAATGTTCAGTTTAAAAGGTTTTTCTGAACAAAATTTCCCTTTTTTAAAAAAATATGTTCAGAATTACCCGTAAGTTAGCAAACATTTTTCTAGCACTATCCGATAACGTTTTCCGTCCAATTTTGGCATTGCTTGGGCCACTTCTTCACTTTCCCACCCAATTAACTCCCCTCCTTAATTTATTTTCCCGCTAAACTCATTTAAAAGTCAAAGAGAAGAAAATTTTAACAATTCAATGCAATTGTTAACTAATTCAAGTAATATTTTAATCTAATTTTTATTTTATGGATTGTTGAATTCATTTTAAGGTTTTAATTTATATCAATTAGCATAATTAAGGATTCAATTTGGGGTTTATGGCTTCAATTCACTTTGGAGAATTTGATTTCTAGGGTTTAGGGGTGGAATTAAATTAGGGGTTTTGCTTATTTAGGGTTTATGGCTTCAATTTAGGGATTTTGGGTTCAAATCGTTTAAAGGTTTTGCTTAAGGGAGTTAATTGGGTGGGAAAGAGAAGAAGTGGACCCCGCTAACTAGGGGTGAGTAAAAATTCTAGGTACCCTGATATGGAACCGGAACCTGCTCGGAACCGCAGGTTCTAGAATCAAAACCTGTAGATCAGGTTTTGGGTAATAAAATTAGGAACTTGTTGCAACAGGTTCAGATTCCGTCTGACCCGAAACCTATAGGGTACCCTGTTTGTATAGGTTTCCATAGGACACATGAAACCGGAATCTATCGTTTAAGACCAAGTATAAAAACTTTATAACAAAATTGTATAAAAGCCGTCACCTACCATTCTCCTTCCTCTTATTCATTTTTCATCTTACTCTTAAAGGTTTAATTAATGGTATATATTAATATAAGTATTTGTAATTTTGTATTAAATATTCTAGACAATCTAGTAACTATTAAGATTACTTTGAAAGATAGGGTACCCTGTTCTTGAGTCAGAACCTGCAGGTTCCAATTCCCAATTTTTAGGAATTTGTTAAACAAAAATCGATTTTGGGTCCTTGTAGACACCCAAATGTGTCTCCCCAAAACCAAACCCAGTGATGATTATCTTTCACGTCATTTAATTATCGAACTAAGTGAAAGTGTGAAAAACCTAGTGATGTGGTTGTTTTTATTAAAATATTTCTCTTTCTGTTTTCGAATTGAAAATATTTGTTTTCTATACTCTATTTATGAAAATAGCCAGTCCAATTTATTTTAGTCCATGATAAGGGTCCAATAATAGTGTAGTTGGATTGGACTCGAAAAGAGCTTTTCTACGATATATTATAAGCCCAATTCCGATGAATAATGAGGAATTTATGACTTAAATTAAATTGGGTTCGAAATAATTTTATATGTGGTCCAATGATCTAGAGGAGGAGGGCTTATTAATTATTATTCCTAAAGTTATTAGGATTGATTTTAATCTTCTAGAATAATCTAGAAGGTTTTTTTTTAAATTGTAATGAGATTAGGATTAATACTTATATTTTAGCTGCTTAATCGTATTAAAAAGAGGATTCCGCGTACAAAGCGTGTTTGATTTCTGACTTAGCGCAAGACGACAAGGCTATCGCCCTGTCGCCTGTCGTCTGGTGCTAAATCCTGTCGTTGGCGACATGAGGTATTATATTCCGAATAGGACTTGATTTGTTTCCGGACTTTTTTTTCTATAAATAGGGGTCGTATTTCCCCGTTTTCATCATTCACAACCAGCATCTCTCTCTAAAAGCTAGAAGCTTTCTTTCTCTCTATTCTTTTTCTAAAACTTCCCTCTTACAAAATTC